CCCAAAAAAAAAAAACCAAAAAAAAAAAAAAAAAAAAAAAAAAGACAGCACGGTGGTAGCTGCAGCGATTCACAAGAAATCGTCACAAGGCAGATGAACTGAAGGGCAAGAAGTTGGGCTCTGAGGGGGCAGCCACCCGTTCTACCATGGAGGCCCTTGGGATCATTCTCTGCTGCCAGCTCCAGGCTGTGCCAGAGGGTCTCATCACCCCTGAGATTTCAGCACTAATGTTTAGTCTTTTCTGTTCCCCTTGTTATGTCTTAGAACACTCAGGTGAAATCAGTGGGGTGACGCTCACACCATGACCCTCAGGTGGTTCAGGGAGAACCAGAGTCGAAGGCACAGGCTCTCCTTCCACCTGCGACCAGAGTCACCGGGGAGCTTTTTCAATGCCGGTGCCCAGGCCTCGCCTATGCCAATTAAATTGGCATTTCTCAGGTTGGCTCAAGCCTCTTTAGTCCTTAAAACTCCACAGATGGGGGTGAACAGGTGGCACAGTGGTTAAGGCACTGAACTCCTGCATGGCCAGCCGCAGTTGGAGTCCCGGACCCGGCAGCTTGAAACTCACACGAGGCACATGTACTCATGTGCCCAAAATCCCAGGAGGAGAATGAAGGAGAAGGGATTGCTGCATGGCCATCTACCCTGGGGGTGACATCTTGCTTTCTCTCTCTCTCTCTCTCTCTCTCTCTGGTGAGTGCGCACACCCTATAGCAAAAAAAAAAAAAAAAACCACCCAGGTGATTCCAGCATGCACCCTACGTAAGGTGCGGCAGTTTCTCACTTTCATGTGTGCACAGTTCCCCTGGAGGACGTGCCAAAGGGTGCATTCTGTTTCCGCCCATGTAAGTTGGGCCCTGAGATGTGGCACGCCTGACCAGCTGCCAACGATGCTGACGTTGCCTGTCCACAGAGCACAGTGGGGGCCCCCGAGGATAAGACCTAACGCTGACCTTGATTCAGCCTCGCGATCTTTCAATCTAATGTTCAGCAATTCAGATATCAGGAACCTCGAGCTCTGATCCCTCAAGGGTATTCCAGCCACTTGGCAGCCTCGGGTTTTTCGCTCCTGCCTCCCGCCCAGAGGGCCCTGGCTGGGGAGAGGGGGGCTCACCTCTCGAACCATCCTATGATCGATGCTGTCTCCAATCTGTCGCAGCTGCATGGCCAACTTGGGGACTGTTTCCTCCTCAGGCCGCTGCTGGCCAGTGCTGCTCTCCTTGGGCTGAGACGGTAGGTTGTCATCTGCATGAACAGAAAAGTTGACAGAGGTCACCGCCTATCACTACATATTCCTAGTTACCCCTGTTTAGTAAAGACTCTTATATGACGCCAGCCGATGGCGTAGCAGTTACGTCACTGGACTCCCACATGGCCAACTGCACTTCGAGGCCAGCTGGGTCCGTGTGTGTGTGTGTGCCCAAGATCGCCAGCTGGGTCCGTGTGTGTGTGTGCCCAAGATCCCGGGAGGAAAATGGATATTGTGACAACTCCCCAGGGGTTGTGTGAGTTCTCACTTTCCCTCTCACTGTCTGTCCCTCATGGCCAACCTCATGGTTTGAGCTCCAGACCCAGTGGTTTGAGAAACACAGATTCGTGTGTGTGTGTGTGTGTGCGCCCAAACTCCCAAAAGGAGGAAAACAATGGATACGGGATGGCGTTTTGACCATACCCCATGGGGAGGGTGCTTTCTTCACTTTACCCCATGTCTCTCTCCAGCAAGCTCAAACACTTTTTTTTTTTTTAGAGGTTTTGGTCTTAGGGCACGTGCACTTGCCAGAGAGACAGAGATAGACACAGTGAAAGGGAAAGTGAGAAATCGCCCCCCCTTCCTGGGGGGGTGACCACGCCACAATCTCTTCTCTTCCATTCTCTTCCCAGGATCTTAGGCACACACACACACACACACACACACACAGATGGCATAATTTTCAAGGCACTGGGTCCGGGACTTGAACTGTGGTCGGCCATGTGGGAATCCAATGAAGTAACCACTATACCGTCTGCTGGTCCCAACAATTTTTAAAAAAAAGAAAAAAGAAAGGCCAGCAGGTGGTATGGTGGCTAAGGCACTGCACTCCTACACAGCCAACCGTGGTTCAAGTTCCAGACCTGGTGGCTTGCTGTCTCACTTTCTCTCTCTCTCTCTGTCTCTCTTGCTGGTGAATTTAAAATAATAATAATAAAAATAAATAAATAATTCTAAAAAAAAAGTTTAAGGAAAAAAGAGAAACAATAAAACTAAATAGATAAATAAATAATAAATGGATCGATGTGCTGGAAGACCTGACAGCCCCTAGTATTAGGAGAATTCCCCCTCTAACGTGAAGCTCTTTAAATGTGGGCAGAGAGGACAGGATGACTTGAATAAACCATTAGAAATGTAAAAAAAAAAAAAAGATAAACCTCCCACGGCCCAGGCATGTAGCCCATGCTAGATGCTCCTGCTTGGCAAGCTGAGGCCACTTGGGAGGCCTAGGTTCAATTCCAAGCCCAACCTGGAAGGCACGCCTCTGTAATCCTAGCACACAGAAGGCTGGGACCAGAGGATGACAACGCAGAGACCCTGTCTAAAACACTGTGAGTGCGCACACACACCCACACACACACTGCCTCCCAATACTTGGGCCTCATTCCATACCAATGAAATCCAAATCCTTAGAGTTGAACAAGCATTGGTATTTTCTTAAGACTCCCCATGCGGTTCCAAGTGCAGCTAAGTTTGAGAACTGACGTAGAGTGGTTCGATAACTTGCCCGGGATTTGAAAGTCTACGACCGAGAGCCAGAATGTCTGACTGCAAAGCCCATGATCCCAACCTTGGCACAGAGCCTGCACTAAAGTAGCCCTAACAGGGACGGAAAGGTAGAAGCAGAGCGTATAAATATTTAGGAAGCACAACAGTGGGCATTCGGTAATAGATTCGATGGGGAAAGGGAGGAGAAGGGAGAACCCCCACTTTCAGGCTTGTGGGACAGGAAAGGCAATGACACCACCAGTCTGGGCGGAGCACAGGGAGGACAGGCATGGGAAGTGGGGGAGGCAGGTGGAGAGAGAAGGAAGGAATGAGAGTTCCTTTATAAACGTACGGTACATGTACGGCATTTAGCAGGCATTTGCTGTCTCTGAAGCTCAGAGGATGTCAGAACTCAAGATGAAGATTTAGAAGTCATCAGTCATTATTCAGCACAAGTGGAAGAGAGTGGAAGAGCTATCTCAGGGAGAGTTCGTATAGCTCATGACAGAACTTCTGGGTAGGGTGGAAGGTTCAGGGAACACAGATCCATAGAAACGACTGAAGAGAAATAATCAGAGACATAAATGGGGAACCAAGAGAAATAGTGTCAGAAAAGTCACCTTTCAAGGGGGCCAGCGGGTGGTGTGGTGGTTAAGGGCACTAGACTCCCACAGGGTCTGCCACAGTTCGAGTCCCGAAACTGGTGGCTTCCTTTCTTACTTTCCCTCTCTCTCTCTCGCTGTACCCCTCTCTGGTTCAAAATTAAAATAAACAAATAATATTTTTTTTTAAAAAGTCATTATTTGGGACTAGTTGGTGGTGTGGAGGTTATCGTGGCTAGATCCCATGTTACAGTTCGAGTTCCAGACCCAGTGGCTTGAAAAGCATACCAGGCATGTATGCATGTGTGCCCCAAATCCCACGGGGGAAAGTGGAGGAGAAGGGATTGCAGCATGGCTATCTCCCTGGGGATTTTAAAAAGTAAGCATAGAAGAAAACAAGACACACACCCGAAGACTGGCCCCATAATTGCCTCAGATTCTAAACCCTCCGAATTCAGTTTCTTTTCATAAGCATCCTCACCAGAAATCTCATCTCTCTGGAGGTAACAGGAGTAGGTCTCTCTTCCTGCCACTAAACAAATAAGCAAAAATATCTACTACATCAACTACCATTTCCCAGGGCTGTCTAACATAGGTAAACCTATGTAGGTGATTGTATTGGCTATAAATTGGCTTCAGGACAGAGTCTGAAATGGAATCTTTTTTTTTCTAATAATTATTCAATTTTTATTTTATTTATTTTCTTTTGACCAGAGAGAGACACACACAGAGAGAGAGGGAGAGAGAGAATGTGAGAAAGTAAGCCACCAGGTCTAGGACTTGAACTGTGGTCGGCCATGTGGGAGTGTCCAGTGCCTTAACCACCACACCACCTGCTGGTTCTTCCTGAAATGGAATCTTAAAATCAAGTTCCTAATCCCAGTGCATTTTGGCTCTGGTCACTTCCTTTTCCTCAGAGAAGTTGAATGCACAATGGATCGCAGGTTCTGCAATACTCAGTTTCCGGCATTGTTGGTTAGAGAGTTGCAGTACCTGCCTTCCATCTATACACCAGATAGCTATACCACCACATCATAAGAAACAATGTAACCAGAGTCAGCAGATGGCATAATGGTCGCATTGCTGGACTCCCACATGGCCTAGCAGAGTTGAGTCCCAGACTCAGCAGCTTCAAGCATGCTGGTCACATATGCTTGCATGTTCCCAAATCTCAAGAGGAAAATGGAGGAGAGGAGATTGTAGTGTGGTCATTCCCCAGTGGATGATTTCTCACTTTCTGTCTCTGTCTCTCTGGCAAGAGCAAAAATCTCTCTTAAAAAAAAAAAAAGAGGGACCAGCAGATGGCGTAATGGGTACATTGTTGGACTCCCACAGAGTTGACAGCAGTTCACATCCCGAACCTGGTGGCTTAAAACTCACGCCGGGCGTGTGTGCGTGCGTGCCCAAGATCCCGAGAGGAGAATGGAGGAGAAGGGATTGCGGCGTGGCCATCCCCCCTGGGGGGCGATTTTTCGCTTTCTGTTTCTCTGTCTCTGTCTGTCTGGAGAGCATACATGCCCTATAGCAAAAACCTCTAAAAAAATAAAAAGAGGGACCAGCAGATGGCGTAATGGGTACATTGTTGGACTCCCACAGAGTTGACAGCAGTTCACATCCCGAACCTGGTGGCTTAAAACTCACGCCGGGCGTGTGTGCGTGCGTGCCCAAGATCCCGAGAGGAGAATGGAGGAGAAGGGATTGCGGCGTGGCCATCCCCCCTGGGGGGCGATTTTTCGCTTTCTGTTTCTCTGTCTCTGTCTGTCTGGAGAGCATACATGCCCTATAGCAAAAACCTCTCCAAAAAACAAACAAACAAACAAACAAAACTCTCATATCATACTAACAACATAACCATATTATAAGAAATCATCAAATCAAAACTCTAAGCTGGTCATATATTGGAGGCAAGTGAAAAGTTCTTTGACAAGATCATCAAAATAAATAAAATTTAAAAGTGAAACTTTAGGACCAGCAAGTGGTGTGGAGGTTAGGTCAGCTGGATCCCATGTAGCCGGTTTGGGTCCCAGACCTGGTGGCCTGAAAATCATACTGAGCATGTATACATGTATGTTCAAAATCTTGAGACGAGAATGGAGGAAAAGAGATTACAGTGTGGCCATCACCCTTGGGAGGTGATTTCTCACTTTCCCTCTCTCTCTGTCTTTCTGGTGAGTGCACGCACCTATAATGGAAAACTAAAAAGAAAAAGAAATTACTAAAAAAAAGAAAAAAAAACAGAAAAAAGTAAAACTCTATTATTTTTCAAATATTAATTTTTTAATAACCAGAGGGAAAAACATCTCATCTGTTGCAATAACCATTACTTAAAAGTTGTGTGACCATGGGGACCAGCAGTTAGTGTAATGCCTATGTCACTGGACTCCCACGTAGTCCACTGCGGTTCGCGTCCCGGACCCGGTGGCTTCAAACTCATGCCAGGCACGTGTGCATGTGTGCCCAAGATCCCGAGAGGAGAATGGAGGAGAAAGGATTGTGTCATCCACCCTGGGGGATGATTTCTCGCTTTCTGTCTCTGTCTCTCTCTATAGCAAAAGTTGTGTGACTATGTATATATCCACTCAGAGTGCTGAAAATAAAATCATAGTCTAAATGGCCTAGTGAGGAATGTGGAAAAACTCATGGTTAATTTTTTTTTTACGAGAATAGTTCCTTTATAAAGTAAATAATCAGCTGCAATGCACGAGGACTTTTAAAAATATCATCGTACATTGAGAATCCTATATGAGGACTTTTGACCAACTGTCCATTAGGTTGCATTTAGGAAAGCTTTTAAGCAAGTATGCTCTGATAGTTTTATAAAAGCCACTTAAAATGTAAATATTTTATGTTCTCTTATGGTGTTCATCCTTTCATAATCCTGATTCTGTTCACTATAAATGGGGACT